GGCACCCACGACGACGACGACGAATGCGGCGGCAGGCTCGACAACGACGACGATTGACATCAACAGCCCAACAACAACAACAACAACAACAACAACAACAACAACAACAACAACAACAACAACAACAACAACAACAACAACAACAACAACAACAACAACTGCGACCATGTCTTCGACCACAAACACAACAAGCGGCGCGGGTAACAGCACGACCACCATTGCCGCTGCCAAGACCACGCGCTCCGGGCTGACAACAACGGACCCCGCCTCCTCATCATCATCCTCAACGAACAAGACAACCGCTGTTGTGGTCCCTGTTGTTGTTGTCATCATCATTGTGGTGCTGGCTGTGCTTGCGTTTGCTGCTTACGGCCGCCGCCGCAGCACCACCATCATCAACGCAGGTGGCAAGAGCCCGCGCACCCAGCAGCACGGATTCACCAACCCGCTGTATGACGACCTGGCGCAGAGCAGTGACGATGAGCACGGTGGCGGTATTGGTGCTGGCGGTCGTGTCAACGATGGTGGTGGCTACGACAACTTGGGTGGTATTGCCCCGCGCGAGAACGAGTACGACTACGCCATGGGCGCATATGCGTATGGCAGTGACGACGACACCGGTTATGAGGAGCTTGATCTGAACATGGACACGGACATGCACGAGGAGGGATATCTTGAGGTGCACGGTCTTGATGACACGCGCTAGATGCAGTATGTGTGATTTGAGATGTGTGTGTGTGTGATTTGAGATATGTGTGTGTGTGATTTGAGATGTGTGTGTGATATGAGATATGTGTGTGTGTGAGTGTGAGTGTGATTTGTGTGTGTGTGTGTGCGTGTGTGTGTGTGTGCGTGTGTGTGTGACAGAAAGCGAGGACGTGTGTCGGTGCGTGAGCGTGTGAGCGTATGAGAGTGAGCGTATGAGAGTGTGGGTTGTCTTCAGCATCTTGCCCACTCGCTGTTTTAACATACTTCATGCGCTTTCTTATGCCCCGAACTGAGGGTGTATGCTTTCCTTCTTTCATTCATTCATCGTGTTCTGTTGTTCATTTCATTTCACATCACACGCGTTGCGTTATTGTGAGCTGCTGTTAACTGTTGCAAATCGGTTGCGTTTGCGTTCTTTGGTGGTTGCCACGTCGTGGTAAACGTGCAACAATTGAACCTTCAATTGAACCTGCAACTGCGGATTCTTGCGGCTTTGTTGCTTGTACTTGTTGCTTATTGACCGATGGAGTGTTGACATCTCATGTTAAGGGCTGGTGTGTGAACAAGCACACACACACTCACACACACAGAAATACAGGCGGACAAACAGACAGTTAGACAGACGTACCCACACACGCACCCACCCACACACACACACGCACACACACACACACACACACACACACACACACACACACACACACACACACACACACACACACACACACACACACACACACACGTACACACCACGACCCGACCAACCTTGCCAATGTCGCCTTTGAGACATGCTTTGTACAGAATCGTTTGCGTGGATGCAACAACCGCCGACTGCTGTGCACCGGCATGCTTCTTCTCGGCATCGTTCTCCTCCCTCTGTTTGCGCTGTTCTTCTTTGTGTTGCTGTTGCTGCGCAGCGTCGCCCGTTGTCTTTGACTGCTCCGTCTGCTCGCGGTGCTTGCGAATGAAAGCGGGCTCCCCTGAGTAGAGGGATGGCAGCAGCACGTTGCAATCGTGTTCAGATATGAAGCGTCACGTGCTTGTGTGTGTGTGTGTGTGTGTGTGCGTGCGTGCGTGTATGCGTGTGTGTATGCGTGCGTGTGTGTGTGTGTGTGTGTGTGTGTGTGTGTGTGTGTGTGTGTATGTGCGTGTGCTTGTGCACACTGCATATTCTGTGTACGGCACAAGTCCCCTACAATAAGTGCCAATAACCGCACACGTGTAACTGCAATCACACATGTGCAGCTACGACAACATTCGCGACCACCACCATCCCGTCACCCCAGCACGTACCATCGAGCACGTTGATGCAAGTGAGAAGCGCATACACGCGTGCAATCTCCTTGAGCGTGGGCCGCTGTGTCGGGAACGGGACCGTGCGGATGCGGGGGTCATTGCGCACCAGCAGATCTGCACACATGGTGCGAGCGAGCGAGATTGTGCGCGTGAGTGAGATTGTGAGTGAGATTGTGAGTGAGATTGTGAGTGAGATTGTGAGTGAGATTGTGAGTGAGATTGTGAGTGAGTGTGTATGTGATTTTGTGAGTGTGCAGGTGCAGGCGTACAACTCATCACAGCAATGGGCAATCATGGACCACTGTGACAGTTCGCAACGACACGAGCGTGTGCTCACCCGATTCATCACTTGTTCCCGTCTTCTTCTGCTGTTTTGCGGACTGGAAGATGAACGACCGATTGTGCACAGATGTGCGGTGGAAGATCACCTGATGGGTAATGTTGACGATGATGATGATGATGACGATGATGATGACGACGACGATGATGATGATGATGATGATGATGATGGCTAGCGGCGTTGCAACGCAGTTGCGGGCGAGAGAGAGAGAGAGTGTGTGTGTGTATGTGTGTGTATGTGTGTGTGTGATTGTATGGTCTCACGACGATGCGCTTCTCACCGTGCATGATGCAAGATACGGCTTCCATTCCCTGAGCAGGCCCTCGATGTCTTGCCGCAGTTGTTGCTGTGGGATGCAGGTTGCACTCATGCGTGAGAGTCAACAAAAGCGATGATAACGCACGCACAGCGGTCGGGCTTCCTGCGATTCCTGCAATCAGGAGACACAGACAGACAGACAGACAGGCAGACAGACTGACAGACAGACAGACGGACAGACAGACAGGCAGACAGACAGACAGACATAAACACACACACACACACACGACGACGACGACGACGACGACGACGACGACGGCAGACCTCATTGTAGCGGCGAAGGTTTGATCCAGCGGATTTGGGCTGTGACGTCCCGCTTTTCGCATCGCGTACAGACTGCACAGTGCCGCGTTTGGCGCGAACAACATAGCGGTGGAAGCACTTGTGGTGTTGGACTGCACACACGCACACACACGCACACACACGCACACGCACGTGCAACGGCAGGTGAATGAGGTCGCAGGTGCAAGGAAGGTTGGGACAATGGTCAGTGCGGATGGAGGAAAACAACAGTACCAGAACACACACAGACACACAGTACCAGAACACACACAGACACACAGACACAGACACAGACACAGACAGACACACAGACGCACAGACACACAGACACAGAGCACTCGACTGACTCTGGCCGCGGTTGACAATGGCGCCTGCAAAGTGGCCGCCAGCGAGCATGAAGAACGCCCACGGACCCGCTGTCGGCAGGGACCGGATCTCCTCCTCAACCACGTGCGTGCCAACATCCACGCCTGTCCTCAAAGAGGGAGTGCCATATGCATGTGTGAACGATGCGCGTGAACGGGTGTGTGTGTGTGTGTGTGTGTGTGTGTGTGTGTGTGTGTGTGTGTGTGTGTGTGTGTGTGTGTGTGTGTGTGTGTGTGCGTACAAGCTGAAGGCACGCAAGCAAGGGTGCATGCCAGCCTGGAGAGCAAGCTTGCTTGCATGCAACGTTGTTGGAGAAGTGAGCGATGGTGGTGTACTTACCACGGCTCGGGAGCACATCGCGATAGATGGAGCACCACGTGTTCGCGCTCTCTTTCCTGTTCGAACCGATCGAGCCAGCGGTGGAAACGCATGAGGTTTCAGGCATACGCAGGTTGAGTCACAGCCACACCAAACTCCGGTTGCACACACAGACACACACAGACACACACAGACACAGACACACAGACACAGACACATAGATACAGACACACACACAGACACACACACACACATAGACAGACACAAACAGACACAGACACAGACACACAGACACACACACAGACACACGTAGAAAGCAACGTGCCCTGCTTGAAAGTAGAGGACAGGGCCCTTCTGCACCGGGAGATTGCCGTCACCAGTCGCAGCAGTGGTCTCTGCTCCGACATTGTCGTTGTCGTCGTTGTCGTCGTCGTCGTCGAGTGGTGCTGGCGGGTGGTCTGACTCCTGGCGCACGAGCTCGTCATCATCTTCGCTGTTCTCGCCACTCGAGACGTCATCGTCGCCCTCGTCTTCGTCACCATTGGCGGCTTGCTGGGCGCCTTGGCTGCCCGGCTGCTGCGCCAAACGTAGTCTGGTTGCGAGAGGAGTGAAACGTGCAACAGGGTGAGGGTTCGGCAGAGTTCCAAGTGTACACTGGCTGTAAGGGAGATTGGCAGGCAGGCATGTAGGGAGTGCGGCAAGCAGACATGTAGGGAGATTGGCAGGCAGGCAGGCCGACAGACAGACACACACACAGACACACACACACACACACACACACACACACACACACACACACACACACACACACACACACACACACACACACACACACACACCACACACACACACGCACGCATGCACGCACAGACACGCACAGACACACACACACAGATACACAGACAGACAGACAGACACACACACACACACACACACACACACACACACACACACGTGCTCACCTGTTCTGGACCTTGAGGCGCTCAAGCTGTCGCTGCAACATGGCCGTCTGCTCCTCTAGCGTGCGCTCCGCATACGCCGTGGCCACATCTGCCGTCTCCTGCGGAGGTGCAACGCCTTGCACGCGCACATGCTGTAGCAGATCCTTGGTTGTCTTGTTGAAGAAGGTTGCCATCCTGTTGTTGGTCGTCGCGGCCTGGGGCTTGCTCGTGCTGCTGCTATGGTGTTGCCCACGACGCTGCTGATAAGTAAGAAGAGGGGTCTTGGTTGCCAGTCTTGCGCTGCCCGTTGCTGTCCCTTCCCAAAGTGCACGCACTCCACTCAACGCTCTGATGAATGACGCACGTCGTCGCATCAACCACCACCACACACGCTGTGATGTCAGCAACAACAATCAACGTGAGCGAGCAGTGTTACGAGCACACAGAGCAGTTATGGACTGGATTGTTGTGAGCGAATGAATTGATGATGAGCGAGGGTCGCATGGAAGATGGCAAGGACGAAGACGATGGGGGTAGCGGGGGCATGGTGGTTGTGGTGCTGGGCTGCACTGGCGTTGGGAAGACGAAGCTGTCCATTGCGTTGGCACAGGAGCTGGACGGCGAAGTCATCAACTGCGATGCCATGCAGGTACGTCTGTATGCGTGTGTGTGTGTGTGTGTGTGTGTGTGTGTGTGTGTGTGTGTATGTGTGTGTGTGTGTGCGTGTATGTGTGTGTGTGTGTGTGCGTGTGTGTGTGCGTGTGTGTATAAGGTCGGCCTCGTTGTCACTGCTCCCGCTGTTGCCAGTGCACGACAACAACAGCGCCAATGTCAGAGCCGCACTAAGCATCACTGCGCGCCGCTTGCGCTGCATATGGTGCAGATGTACAAAGGGCTGGACATCATCACGAACAAGGCGACGCCGGAAGAGATGAGCAACGTGCCACACCACCTGTTGGGGATGCTGCCACCCTTGGCGGAGAGCAACGTCGTGGAGTTCAACCAGCGGGCTCAGCGCGTGATCACGAGGCTGCACCAGCAGAACAAGATGCCCATCTTGGTTGGCGGCACACACTACTACATCGAGACTGTGCTGACAGCTGCGGCCAGCGCTGGCCCACCCAAGGACGCGCCGCAACAGACGGCCCACTCTACACCGCAGGCGGATCGGGTCGCCTCACTGAGCGACGAGGAAGCCTACGTCACACTCAAGACGTAATGACGCTTGGCTGTGTATGCCTGTGTGTGTGTGTGTGTGTGTGTGTGTGTGTGTGTGTGTGTGTGTGTGTGTGTGTGTGTGTGTGTGTGTGTGTGTGTGTGTGTGTGTGTGTGTGTGTGTGTGTGTGTGTGTGTGTGTGTGTGTGTGTGTGTGTTGCTGTGTATGCCTGTGAATGCGTGTGAGCAGGTCGGTGCTCATCACTGTATGCGTGTGCGCGTGTGTTGGCGCTCTGTGTACCCCCTCCGTTCCTTGCACACTCACGCTGCGTGCTCGTGCTGCCCATGCTCGCCTGTCTTTGGAGTAGAGTGGACCCCATCATGGCCCAGCGGCTGCATCCACACGACCAGCGCAAAGTGCGACGGTGCGTGCGCTGTGCGATGTGTGCGCTGTGCACTGTGCGCTCTGTCTGTCTGTGTGCGTGTGTGTGTGTGCTGTGTGTGCGCTTTGTGTGCTGTGTGTGCTGCTGCATAGTTACATGTTGTGTTGTGTTGGCAATCCACTGCAGGCTCCTCTCACGGCACTTGGCCCCACCACCATGCAATGTGAACTGCCTTCTCTTGCTTGCTGTGTGCGTCGTTCATGCATTCATTTCGTGGTGCAACAGGGCGTTGACGGTGTTCTACGAGACGGGGCGTCGCCAGAGCGACGTGATCAAGGAGCAGTCACATCGCCGCTCCCTCTTGCGCCACACACCATGCCTCTGCTTCTGGATTGATGCGCAGCAGGTACACTGGCCTGCTACTAAGTTGCACTTAGACGCACGCATGCGCGCACACACTGGTCTAGGCACTCTATCCACAACCAACACACACACACTCACACACACTGGTCTAGCCACTCTATCCACAACCAACACATACATACACACACACACACACATATGACAAGACACCACGCTCCTTTTGTCTTTGCCCATCTTCACCCCATCTTATACTCGCATGCTGGACGACTTCTCACCCTTCTCGCCTCCTCCACGCCCCTCCCGTCTCCAAACATCATGGCATATGGGACGGCAGGATGTGCTTGATGCCAGGTTGGATGCGCGCGTGGATAGCATGGTGGCTGGCGGATTGTTGGAGGAGGTGCTCTCGTTCCTCCACTTTCTCCAGCAGCACCCCGCACAGCCACAACCGCAGGAAACACAATCACAACGGGCGCACAGCTACTCACAGTCACACTTGCAGCCGCAGGCACAGCCACACGAATCACAGCCAGCATCGCAAGCCCGTTTGCGGCAGCCAAGTGACCATGATGATTGTGATGATGGTGATGATGGTGATGATGGTGATGATGGTGATGATGGTGATGGGGGTGGTACGGCGAAGAAGGCAAAGCAAGAAGAGAGGAGACATGTTGTAACTGAAGTGGGAGAGACGCAAGAGGGAGAAGGGAGCCTGCAGCAAGCGGCGGTGATGAAGGTGACTGACGACCGGCAATTGCAGCACCACACCGCCCTGGGCGACGACAGGTTTGAGCACGGGCTGTTGCAGGCGATTGGTCTCAAGGAATTCCGACCGCTGTATCACGCGTTGATAGCCGCTGGATGGCAGCCAGAGGCGCACACGCAGCGAGCAGGAGCGGCTAAGCGCGCAGCAGCGATGATGGAGCAAGCAACCACGACACCGGTAACAACGGTACCAGCAGCAACAGCGGTAACAGCAGCAACACCGCAAACAGCTGCGCCCACAACAGCTGCAACAACAACAGAGCAGGCTGCTGTCACTGAAGCGAGGGCAAGCGACGTGCCTGGCGGCGCAAGTGGCGGTGTCGAGTGCGTTCCAGTGCTCACGCCAGCGTGCATTGCGCGTGCACATGTCCTCATTCACGGCGAGCAAGGAGCGATGGTGCCGCACCGTGACAACGCTGACGCGAAGGAGAGTGGCAAACGCGAGGACTGTGCGGTGCGTGAGCAGGAGCAGTGGGGACCTGCACAGCGGGGCGTGCGTGACGTTTATCATCGCTGTTTGGAGGACATGAAGCGACGGACGCGCCAGTATGCACGCAAGCAGACGCAGTGGATCACGAACCGCTTCTGTCGGGGTTGGTCATTGCGCGCCACAAGCGCCGGCAGCGCACGTCTTGCGCATTCCGCTCGTTTGGTTTGGTGTTGTTATTTGTTGCGTGCACATTGCACAGGCGTTGACCGGCCGCCCTCCCACACACGCGAGCGTATGCGCACAAGCTTACACGAGCGTGTGCATTGCACGCTCGTGCTACACACACACACACACACACACGCACGCACACACACACACACACACACACACACACACACACACACACACACACACACACACACACACACACACACACACACACACACACACACACACGCACACCCACCCTCACACACACACACACACGCACACACGCACACCCACCCTCACACTCCCCGTACGCCACACGCCTGCAGAGCGGCCTGGGCTGTATGTGTACAAGCTGGATGGGACTGATGTTGGACGGTGGCACGAGACGGTGATGGAGCCTGCAATGGTGGTGTTGCTACAGTACCGCGCGTCAGGGGAGCCACCGCCTGGCGTGTCACTGCAGCAGCACATGTCGGATGCAGCCCGCCTCAAAGCATGGACCAAGCACCACTGCGACCGCTGCAACCAGACCCTGAATGGCGATCATGAATGGCAGGTGGGGACGTGGAATAGGTGTGATGTGGATGTTGATGTGTGGGGCTGTGGATGTTGATGTGGGTGGGGGTGGACTGGTGGATGAACACAATGCGTTCATCATACACACTCACACACATACACACACACATGTACACACACACATGTACACACACACACACACACACACACACACACACACACACACACACACACCCCAATACACACACACACACACCAATACACACATGACAGGTGCATTTGAAGTCGCGCAAGCATCGCAAACGTGGTGGCAAGAAGAAGAAGCTCTACCCACAAACAGGACACCAACCACCACAACCATGACACGACAACAAACGACAACATCCAAACCACTGATGAGTCATCACGTTGTGTGGAGTGCCGACAAGTTATGGAAGACATTAATAAAACGCTTCGTCAGCATAAAATTGGTGCGAGCCGCCCTGATTTTTATGGCGCAGAATACGTATTTTCCTCCGCTCCGCACAACGCTTGCAGGGTGAGTCGTGTGTGTGGAGATGAGACAAGGCGTTGTTGGCGCAAGCAATGTTGGCTGGAGGAAGCGTGATGCTGTGTGTGTGTGTCAGGGTGATGATGGTCGTGGGTGTTCGGGGGGAGGAGCATGAGGGAGACAAGGTCACACGTGGATGGTTGTGGTATGTGTGAGAGGAGGGGAAGGTTATGAACGGCAAGGCAACGGAAGCGGATGCTTGTTCTCTCCCTTCGCCGCTTTGCTTGGGTGGTGGTTTGTTTGTGTTTGTCGTTTCGTTGGTCGAGTGGGTTGAGTTGGTTCGTGGATGATTGTTTGATGTTGTTGGTGGTGGTGGTGTGCCGCAACGATGGTGTTGGAGAAAGCCCCGGGGGGGGGGTTGATGACGAAGCAGCGCCGGCCACAGCAGAAAGACAGAGACAAAGGCAAAGGAGAGCGTTCTGTGGACACGTGTGTGGTGACTGTTACAAGCACGGGTGTGGGTGGACGTTGCGTGGCACGCTTTCCATTTTCAAATCTCATCCTTGATCAACCACAACTCACGCATTGTTGTTGCTTCGCTCTTGTTTGGGTTTTGCCGTTCCTGTCTCTGTAACGTCCACCATCTCCCTCGCTCTCTCCTCCATCATCGCTTGCTCCACCGCCTGAACCCGCCGACCGTCGACGACCGTTGCTGCTGCCATCCGCAACCGTCGACCTCTGATCGGGCAACAACAGCTTTTTTCTTCTTGACCCGACCCCGTTCCTTTGAAGCACCACACATCCTCCCAACTACCAGCCATGGCAACCCGCAAGAAGGTTCTCCTGAAGGTCATCATCCTCGGTGACAGCGGGTGCGTAAATGCACATGATGGGACATGGGACGTGAGCGTGTCTGCATGCGTGTGTGTGTGTGCCTGCGTGTGGGCGTGCACGAATGTCCTCCCGCCGATGACACAGGTCGAACAACAGCTTGTCCTTTTCATATACCGTCCGCCTATTCACGTGTTTGTCCTCGCAACTCACACTCTCTCACACACCAACTTTGATAGTGTCGGCAAGACGTCGCTGATGAACCAATATGTGAACCGCAAGTTCAGC